ACCCCGTCTCTTAAATATACAAAAATTAATTGGGTATGGTGGTGCATGCCTGTAATTTACCTAGCTACTCAGGAGGCTGAGGCAAGAGAATACCTTGAACCAGGGAGTCGGAGGTTGCAGTGAGCTGAGATCGCGCCACTGCACTCCAGCCTGGCAATAGAGCAAGACTCCATCTCAAAAAAAAAAAAGGCCTGGTATATAAGTCCAGTATATTAAAGGACAGCTGGCATGTAATGTATTTTGATGCTTTAAGGAAAAACATCAGGGTCATGTCATTAAAGTGATGGTCTTCCCACATATTTTGCATGTAACAAAATCTTTAAGCAGTCTAAAGGTAAAGATAATGTAGACTGGAGGCCCTAATGTTGACATTACCTCTGCCAATACTTAAGGTATTTGACATACTGTCTTCATGTGCCAAATATCTTTAAATTGCCCTTTTAGGACTGTTAAGAAAACTGATGCAATGTATATGACTGCGTCCATCGTGGTTCGTTTGTAAGCATTCATTAATGTATTCTTTACATTTCTTTGAACATTTTCTCAGCACTTCATTCCAAAATTCCTGTGCTATCTCAGTGTTCTCTGAAAACACTGCCAGACCTAAGATGCAAAGTGGCCTCTTTGACTACAGGATTTGGCTTGGCTTTTTCCAAGAATCAAGGTCACCAGTGTCTCACCCGGGGGTTAAGTCTAGGCTTAGAGCTAGAATAGGACTGCAATCCTAATATTTCAGGCCTTTTAGCTTTAGTATGTACTGATATTTAGCAATGCCTAAATTCGTAACAAGCACACAAAGAAATGTCTTTTCTCCTCTGTAGAGCCCACCTTATATTCTTCCTTTACCGCACGGCCTCTTGGTGGGGCTTAAAACCTACATTTCCTAGGATGGGTTAAATAAACAGTGTAGATGAATTTGGTGTGCAAACAGCTGAAGTCACTGGCTGCATTTTAAGCTTGTCTACTGCAGCAACCTGCAGACACCTAGTTAAGAGAGATTACTAAATTCTTTCTTTCCCATTAATAAAAGGGACCAGTCTACAAAAGACACAGCATTGCTGCGAACCAGCTCTCGCTTGCGCGATCAGGAAGAAGAGCGGCAAGGCTGGAACCTCGGGACAGGAGAAAGGCAGCCTCCTTGTGACGTCAAATCAGCGGACTCTTGTCTTGGCTTTAGGCCGGTTCCGGTTCCCCGGCTTTCCGGGCGCGAGCGCGTGTGAGCGCGTGCGAGCGCGGCGGCGTACTGCGCGTGCCCCGCAGTGGGACACGGGAAGGTTGGGTCCGGCTCGGGAGGAGATGCATGATTGGCTGACGCTGTGCTCGGGGGTTCCCTAGCCCTTTCGGCAGGGGTAAAACAATAAGAGGGGGCGGTGGCAAAAGGGGCGGGACGTCCGTGGTCCTTGTCGCTCGCCGCAGCGTCTGGCGCCCGGGAAGAGGTGGTTGCGAGGAAAAACGAACTCGCAGCTCTCCAGCTTCCGAGGCTTCAGAGTTGTCGGAGGAAGGGGGCGGCGAGCAAGAAGAATCCACTGTATCCCGGTTCTCAGCGACTCTCCTGCTGACCTCCGCGCAACGTACCCGCCGCTGCTGTTGGCTGGAGGTGTGTACGGGGGCCGGGAGGGGAGGTCGGTGTGGTGGTCGGAAAGGGACATTCCCTTCGCGCTCCGCGGCGCTAGGCCACCGTCCGGTGTGTGAGCCCGGGAGCCAGAGGTGTAGCAGGAGAGACATTGTTCTTACCGGCTCCTTACGCTGCCGTGTGTGCGTGAGAGAAGCCCAGCCTTTTCTCCAGGTGAGGGGTGGGAGGCCTCCCGGGAAGGGAGGTGACCCGAGAGCGTGTAGCGGGCAGAGGGCTCCGAGGGCACAGGTGGGGCTGTGGTTTATTGGGGATGAGGTGGCGAAGTGGGGGGTGGGGGGACGCAGCAGCTCCCGAAAGCGCGCTGATGGAAGCTTAATACAGGAAGTGTGGGAGTAGGTTTTCTGGAGGGGATGTTTTAGGGTGGGTAGCCCACTGCCCCTGTTTCCGAATCGTTTGCGGCTCTTATTCCTGGTTCCTTAGGAGCTGGGAGGCCGTCGCCGCCCCGCCCGTGGGGGAGGGGAAAAGAGGTTGTGTCGGCGGAGGCAGAAGCAACGCAGATGCGAAAGTAGCGGCCTCCGGGCACCATTTCTGTGCACGAAAACAGAATCCGGGTTTGAAGGCAGTCGCCGCTTCGCTTACCCAGTACCTAGTGTTCCGTCGTCTTTGACCAACCCCCCCCTCCCCGCCACCGCGGGTTTAATCCGAACGTGTTCGGATACTGTTACTGTAACGTGCGACTTCTTCGTCCCCTTTTTATGCAGACGATCCCTTATTGATCCGGGAATGGCTTTTGGGGGATGGGTTCCTCTCCCGCTTTTTGCGGGGTGAGGGGACAGAAAGGAATATAAGCTTCCCTAGGTTGTGTTGATTTTGTTAGTGGAATCTGATAGAATTTTCCCTGCGTCTCTAAAAGGAGATTTCTTAAGATGGCCCTGTGCCGCTTTGGGGCGAATATAGATTTTCGTCTACAATTTCCTGCATAGGTCAATTTTTTTTCCCCAATGCATACCTAATGTTCTAACGGATTTTGGGGGGAAGTGCCTTTTCCTTCCTCTAAAAAAGAAAAAAGCACGTGCACTCTTAGATGGAATAGTAAAGTTGTTTTTATCTCCTTGTATGGTTGTTGTGGGATATTAACTTGGGTTAAGATACTGTGATTTTAGGTTCAAGGCTCCGTACCTTGTTAGTCTTTGAAACGTTAGTGTTGCAGGTATCTGAATCTAGGAACCATTAACTTGTGTTAGGAGAGCCCCGGTACCCCGGGTATGGTGGCTCACGCCTGTAATCCCAGCACTGTGGGAGGCTGAGGTGGGCGGATCGCCTGCAATCGGGAGTTGGAGACCAACCTGACCAACATGGAGAAAGCTCGTCTCTACTAAAAAATACAAAATTATTCAGGGGTGGTGGCGCATGCCTGTAATCCTAGCTATTTGGGAGGCTGAGGCAGGAGAATCACTTGAACCCAGGAGGCGGAGGTTGCAGTGAGCCGAGATCGCATCACTGCACTCTGGCCTGGACAACTCCGTCTCAAAAAAACAAAAACAAAGGAAAAAGAGCCCCGGTGTGGTAGAGTGGAAGATGATGGCATTTCTTGTCCAGCTCCGTATTTGGCAGTTAACACAGCCTTAGGCATGTGAACAAAGTTTCTAAGTAAACATTTGGTCCTGTTAGCATCCAGTGGCCCTTTTGATAATCCGAGATTCCTGGTTTTAGGAAATACACAGTATGATGAGTTTGAACCTCTTAGAGTTGAATTATCGTTTCTTTAGCAATATTTACATTTTTCTTAAATTTTTAAGATTACTCATATGGGTCTTTATGTTACGATTTAATCTTTATAATCTAATTCTGACAAGCAGTCAAGGAATTGTAGAAATAATAAGGACCTCGAATGAATTGCTTATGAAGAGCTGTCATAGTTCAGATTGTTTGATATTTAGGGTGGAAATACTAGTAATGGTGAAAAAACATCAAGAGTGAACCAGAATGCTAGTGGGATGGATGGGGATCAGAATTAGAAGGTAAGGAAGAAAACAAGTCATTTGATAATTTCAAAGAGTAACTAACTTGAGTGTTAAGTTAGCAGCTGAGCAGTTGATTTGTCAGCAGGTAACACATGGTTTGAAGAAAGTGTTGGCACTGAGCCTAGGTTCTTAACAACTTCCCTATCCTGCAAAATTATCACTGTTTATTATCCATTATTAGGACTGGACATTTTCCCCCTAAATTGCTTTAAGAAGACTTTCCACATATTTTGAGTGAATATGGAGACAGTGAATGACTCCTTTTCAATGTTGATTTTGAAAGGCACAAACTAAAGTGTTGCTTCTGAACTTAGATACAGTAGAATTTAAAGGACAAACATGACCTAGTTACTCTCCACTGGTAGACAGTTGTTTAATATCCAATAGAATAAATTGGTCCAGCTCCCTGGCCTACCTTAAGAAGCAGTGGATTTAGTTTCTTGACCTCTGTGTTTCAGCTTTCTAATTTCCAAGTGTTTCACCCTATTTTGAAACCATAGGTATATTGAGAGTGATTCTTGGATTTTCTGTTACTGTCCTGCTATATTCCTTTGCTTTTCCCTCTTAACTGTTTCACATAAGCTAACAATTGCTTGTTAATTTTTTGTATTGTTGGAAGAGCTGGCTGCTCTTCCAAAGTGGTTGTTCCTAACCAAAGTGTAATGCAAACATCACTGTAGTCAGGAGACCTTGATTTCAAATCCTCTTTCTTTTTACTGTAACTGAGGGACCCCAACACCTTTCCTTATGCTATCTAAACATGGGTTTCCTTTTCTGTAAATGAAGATAATACCCTATCTTTCTTTTCTTTTCATTTTTTTTTAAGACGGGGTTTCACCATGTTGGTCAGGCTGGTCTTGAACTCCCGACCTCAGGTGATCTGCCTGCCTTGGCCTCCAAAGTGCTTGGATTACAGACGTGAGCCACTAGGCCCAGCCCCTTTTTCTTTCTTTCTCTCTCTCTCTTTCTTTCTTTCTTTTCTTTTCTTTTTTTTTTTTTGAGACAGAGTCTCCCTCTGGAGTGCAGTGATGCAATCTTGGTTCACTGCAATCTCTACCTCCTGGGTTCCCCTGCCTCAGTCTCCCAAGTAGCTGGGACTACAGGTGCACACCACCATGCCCGGCTATTTTGTGTTTTAGTAGAGACAGGGTTTCACCATGTTGGCTAGGATGGTCTTAATCTCCTGACCTTGTGATCCACCTCAGCCTCCCAGAGTGCTGGGATTACAGGCATGAGCTATCACATCCAACCCCCAATAGCCTATCTATTTTAAAGACCAAAAGAGAAATAGTAGGTTACTTTTTAAACTTTAAAACATAGTATAAAGACATGCTTTATTTTTGTGAACAGCATTTCCATCTATTTGTTTATTTATTTTGTTTTTTGGAGATCTGTGTGCCTATATTAGCGGAGCCACTATTTGAGGGGGATGAAGCTGGAGGATTGGGTGGCTCTGATGCCTGGCCGGCCATGCTTCACGGGCTTGTAGGTGATAAAGAACTTGCCCAGGTAGTGGCTAAGTATCTCCGGCTTGATCTTCACCTGGTTGAAGGTCTTGCCGTTGTAGACGCCCACCATGCTTCTCACCCTCTGTGGCAGGATTATCTTGTCCCACAGGTGCGTCTTCACCACTTCCGGCTTCTCCATGGGCGGCATCTCCGTCTTGTCATTGCGCAGGCGCTTGAGCAGCGACTGCTGCTTCCGCCGCAGGCCCGGGTTTGGCCGCCGCAGTAGGTGTGCACTGTACAGATGCATCAGCTGCTCGTAGGACATGTCCAGCAGCTGGTCCAGGTCTACGCTGTGATAGGTGAACTTGCGGAAGGTCCGCTTCTTCTGCTCTACCATCTTGCCAGATCTCAGAAAAGCTCCCATTTCTTAATGCTTGGGCACTTTTGATAGTTTCTGAATTTCAAAACTAGCCTCCCTCAGCTTCTGAGAAGGACAAAACAAAACCTTTGGAGGCTGAAAAAGAGATTTAATCTGTAATTTACTTTTGTTATTTATTTGTACTGCTGTAATTCTTAGATCTTGTTTGTGAAGCTTTCATTCAATGGTGTCCCACAGAAGATTGAAGATCATTGCTTTAAAAAGGTATAGTGTTCCTTAGATTGTTCAAGTCACTTTGAACAAAGACAATCTGGAATTTCAGAAAGTTCCAGTATTAATATGCATTTAGCTGTTGAAAAGGGATATAGTCCATGGTTCAATTAAAATAAACCTGACTAGTTTGAGCCCAGCTATGAGTGAGGGACTCCAGAGGGGTAAGGGGAGATAAGTATCCTATATAGTGGAGATAAGCTGTGTCTGAGCACCTGCATAACCTTTGGTAACAGTGTCTGGTAAAGAGAACTGCATCCTATTACTAGAGGTCTTACTCGTTTTATAAGAACTAATATCAGGTACTTACAACTCGACTCACTGCAGCCTCCGTCCCGGGTTCAAGCAATTCTCCTGCTTCAGCCTCCCAAGTAGCTGGGATTGCAGGTGCCCACCACTGCACCCAGATAATTTTTTTGCATTTTTAGTAGAGATGCATTTTTGCCATGTTGGTCAGGCTGGTCTCGACCTCCTGACCTCAGGCAACCCACCTGTCTTGGCCTCCCAAAGTGCTAGGATTACAGGCACGAGCCACCTTGCCTGGTGTTTTTTTCCTTTTGTAGTTTCTGGTACATATATAGTAGCCATAAAATAAATGTTGAAATGAATTTATGTTGTCTAACCTGTTTACCCAGCTTGTGGATTGGAATGAATGGAGACAAAGTCCCAGAGAATGAAGTTGCAGCGAGTAATATCAAGTGATTAAAATATTTGTATAGAATTTGATATAGGAATGAGAAAGTATAGTAAGAGATAAATTTGAAAGGTTGTTTATGACATTTAAAGTCAGGCTGGATTTCTGTGTGTAGGGCCTTAGATGCCAAAGTGAATGCAGGTGTTCGGATTTTACTCTGTACAGTGTATACTACACATGATTCAAGGACTTGAAAGACTTTTGAAGAATAACTAAAAGGTCTGAACAGTGGGAGTGAAAAGGAGGGCACAAATTCCAACTTCTGGGTTGTAAGGATTTCACAGTTGAAATGGCAAAGCTAAAGGGGAGAAAGTCGCTTACAACTGAGCTTTCAAGTTGAGAAGTTTGTGACACTTAACAGAAATAAGGAAATAGCTTTCTTTGTATGGGGTGTGTGTGTATTGGGACATATGTAAGTCATGCCTAGGTATTTAGTATGTGGTGAGAAATGAAAAATTTGAACTTATGGCATAGGCTAGATGATACACATTTAGGTAGACCTGAAGCTGAAATTGACAGGTTAGAAGACAGAACTTGAGAACTTACGTGTTTTGATGAGAAGGAAAGTTTGCCTTATAAAACTCTAGAAGAGTTAGGAGAAGGAAGTCAACATTGATAATGCAGGCAGGTGGAAGATTGAGAAGTCACTAGATTGTTGAGAAGAATTTTGATGTTTCCAGAGAATTGCATTCAAGGGAGAGCTGAGTTACAATATTTGAGAGGGTAGTAGAGAGAAGGAAGATGAAGACTGGTGTACAATTAATAACTTAGGGCAGAATACGATTAATAAACTGCCATGATAAGGCCAAAAGTACTTTAAGAGTTGGGGTTTTTTTTGTTTTTGTTTTTTTTAATGGAGTTACGCTTTTATTTCCCAGGCTAGAGCACAATGGTGTAGTCTCAGCTCACTGCAGCCTCTGCCTCCCGATTTCAAGTGATTCTCCTGCCTCAGCCTCCCCAGTAGCTGAGATTACAGGCATACTACCCCACCTGGCTGATTTTTTTTTTTTTTTTTTTTTAATAGAGACAGGGTTTAACCATGTTGGCCAGGTTGGTCTTGAACTCCTAACCTCAGGTGATCTACCTGCTTCGGGCTCCCAAGGTGTTGGGATTAAAGGCGTGAGCCCCTGCTCCTTGCCTACCTTAAGAGTTAATAGAGAAGAGTTGTATTCTGTTGAGGAATTCAGTGGGAGTAGAAAGATGTTCAAGGGGACAGGATTTTTGATGGGCCCAGATAAATGCATGGGATTTCAATCACTGTAGATAGGAAGATGTGGGATGAGTATTGAAGGAGAATTCAAAAGTTCTGCTTCTTATTAACAGACTTTTAGGATCTCAGTGTTGGAATGGCCTACTCTTACCTTTTTGGATGTATGGACTCCTTTTTGTGCAAAATCATTCAGTTAGTCTCTGGAATACCTGTAGTGACTGGCTACTCATTAAGTAGCTGTATTTGACATTTGGACAACTCGAATTAATGAGTTTTTTTTTTTTTTTTTTTTTTTTGAGATGGAGTCTTGTTCTGTTGCCCAGGCTGGAGTGCAGTGGCTGCACACCACCATGCCTGGCTAAGTTTTGTATTTTTAGTAGAGATGGGACTTCACTATGTTGGCCAGGCTGGTCTCGATTAACTCCTGACCTCGTGATCTGCCCACCTTGGCCTCCCAAAGTGCTGGGATTACAGGTGTGACCCACCACACCCAGCCTTGAATTATATTGAACCCAAATCTACCTTCCTATAATTTCCATTCACTAGATTCATTTAGAATTTTCAGTTCATTTTAGATATTACATCTACATTAATGTAGCCTGAGATTGATTATTTTGGAGGCAGCCCCATTATACTAGTGATTCACTGAACTTTAAATGGTAAACCAAGGAAATTAAATGTTTTTTACCTAAAAACTAAAAATAATAATAAGCTTTTGTTATTTATTTGTACCACTATGGTTCAAAAACGTTTCAGTCAAAGTTCAAGGAGAGTGATAACTTTGGTTTAAGTTACTTTGAAATTGAGGAAATATAAGTACATTGTAGGATAATGAAGCTCAACGTGACTTTCTTGTCTAATCTGCATGTGTGTCTACCAATGGCCAATGCTTCATTTCCCTCTCAATGTGTATTAACAGATTAAGAAAATACGGGGACAAATGACATAGAGCAATTAGAGCTGTTGTACAGTGTGCTTCTGGAATTAGTCTAAGCAAATGCAGAGAAAATTTTTTTGAGGCAGAGTCTTGTTCTGCTGGAGTGCAAAGGTGTGATCTCAGCTCACTGCAACCTTCACCTCCTGGGTTCAAGCCATTCTCCTGCCTCAGCCTCCTGAGTAGCTAGGACTACAGGTGCGTGCCACCACACCAGCTAATTTTTGTATTTTTAGTAGAGACAGGGTTTCACCATGTTGGCCGGGATTGGTCTCGATCTCTTGACCTCATGGTCCACCTGCCTTGGCCTCCCAAAGTGCTGGGATTACAGGTGTGAGCCACCTTGCTCAGCCCAGAGGAAACATTTTAGGAAACGGGAATGAATAAAAGATTCTAAACCAATTAGCTGGGCATGGTCTTGGGTGCCTGTAATCCCAGCTACTGGGGAGGCTGAGGTAGGAGAATCATTCGATCTGGGAGGCGGAGATTGCAGTGAGCCAAGGTAGCGCCATTGCACTCCAACCTGGGCAACAGGGCAGGACCGTGTCTCAAAAAAAAAAAAAAAAAAAGATTATGAAGAAGATTCCCTTCGATTTTAGGTACAATAGGTAGGGTTGGAGGATGCCTCTAAAGTAGTTCAGGCTCTGTAAATAGTGAGGGAAGCTCTGGATAATCTTTTTCTTTCTTTCTTTCTTAACACGGAGTCTCTTTCTCCGTCCAGGCTGAAGTGCAGTGGTGCGGTCTCAGCTCACTGCAACCTCCACCTCCCAGGTTCAAGCAATTCTCCTGCCTCCGCCTCCTGAGTAGCCGGGACTACAGGCTCGTCCTACCATGTCCAGCTAATTTTTTCTATTTTTAGTAGAGACTGGGTTTCACTTTGGTAGCCAGGATGGTCTTGATCTCTTGACCTTGTGATCTGCCCACCTCAGCCTTCCAAAGTGCTGGGATTACAGGCATGAGCCACTGATAATGTTTTCAGTTGACAAGTAAAAGAAGGATTTGTTAATGAGAGCCTTATCTGTCTGTATAGAGCGAATGTATCAGAGAAAATTTTACATTGTGCTTTCCTGTGTGAGATACTCCACATTTTCAGTTATCAGTGGAAGAATAGGGGTTTGATATATCATGTTTCACTTTCTCTTAAAAGATTGTTAGGTGAGGCTAACAACCACCTTATTGAAAATTGTGGTTATCTTTGAAGGTGCTGGAATCTAACAACCTTCTGAAGATTTCTTTTTGTGTATAAATATCCTTTAATCTTGGCTTTTTTTTTTTTGAGACAGATTCTCACTCCTATTACCCAGGTTTGAGTGCAGTGATGCCATGTTGGCTCACTGCAGCCTCCACTTCCGGGCTCAGGCAATCCTCCCACTTCAGCCTCCTGAGTAGCTGGAACTGCATGTGCACACCACCACCCCTGGCTAATTTTTTGTATTTTTAGCAGAGATGCGGTTTTACCATGTTGCCCAGGCTGGTCTCGAACTCCTGAGCTCAAGCGACTTACCCATTTTGGTCTTCCAAAATGTTAGGATTACTGGTGTGAGTCACTGCACCTGGCCTTCTTGGCTATCTTTATAGAACTGTATAGTCTTATAGCCTTGACCCAGGGGATTGCTTCTCAGTTTGTAAATTAGGAAATCAAGATCCAGAAAGGTCATGATTTTTCATTGCCATAGATAGATGGCTAAAATCTTTTACCTAGGCCTGGTGCGGTGGCTCAGGCCTAGCACTTTGGGAGGCCGAGGCAGGCGGATCATGAGGTCAGGAGTTCTGAGACCAGCCTGGCCAGCATGGCAAAACCCCATCTCCACTAAAAATACAAATAATTAGCTGGGCATGGTGGCGCACGCCTGTAGTCCCAGCTACTCTGGAAACTGAGGCAGGAGACTCGCTTGAACCCAGGAGGCAGAGGTTACAGTGAGCCGAGATCACGCCATTGCACTTCAGCTTGGGTGACAGAGTGAGACTTGTCTCAAAGGAAAAAACAAACACCAAAAACTTTTACTCACTCCCAATATTCAGAATTTTGTTTTGTTTTGGTAACTTTTTAAAAGAAATTGTTGGAAACCGATGCTCGATGCTGCAAAGAAAAAATCAGCATTGAGAGAAAGAATCTCTCAGCAACCAATTTTTACTTCCTGTAGGAAGAGTACGCTTGCTAGCCATCTTGCCACAAGAGTACAACAAACAAAGGAAAAGCAGACATATTTATTCCTTACACATTTGGGGTCATCCTTACTGATGTATCTGATCTCCATTGGCTGGAGCCAGACCTCACACTCTAAACTAAAATCTGATTGGCT